GTGGTTTTGACCAGAGCTATGGTTATATAACTCAGCAGGCTAAGTCTGAGAGTCGTATACCTTCTTCTTTACCTGAACTCAGACTCACCAGATACCACACCACCAAAACGATCTTCAGTGGTCTGTGTTTCACTTGCACTGAGGTAGGTCCTCAGAGGAAGAGCATGGACATCCATTCTGAGTGCACAAGATATTAGCAGCTCTTCTTCCTGAGTCGTTAGTTGTTTTGAGATAGAAGTCATGGACCTTCCCAGCATTGGCAAAAGTCGCACGTCCAGGAGAAGACTTCTTCTAGACTTGACATATCTCTTGATGGTCAATTCTTCATCTTGGTTGTAAGTCCTTCTAGTTGTGAAAAATCCAATTTCCTTAACTATGAAGTTTTTTAATTTATCACACAAGAGTAGGAGTAAAAGAATTCAGCAGATAAAACAAATCCTGCAATATGGTATCCTGCAGCAATGGCACCAAAATTTTACCAACATATCTACTTTTTGGTATTTTTAGGCAAAACAGAGCAATAAGATAGATAATGAAAAGTGGGAACTACCAGATGTGAAGAAAGAAAAAGGAATGAAACAAATAGCAAGTGGACTTAAAGTTCCTTCAAAAGGAAAATTAGAAGTGCTAATGCTGTGGGAAACTTATCTATGGTTCATGATGTGTGGGTAATTGATACTAAGGAAGAGTGCATATTTAGAACAGACTTCATGTGGAGACATGGATGTGAGGTTAGGCTAGCTTCAAATAGCCTTGTAGCCTATGACAAGAAAATCCCTATGCACTACATGACCATTACTACATAAGTAGATGAACTTCTCAATTCAACAAGGAAAGTGATCATTGTATCACCAAGAAGTGAAATACTCATACCAGAACTTGTCAAAAATAAATTTGCATCTATTGACTGGGCTGTAATAAAACCAAACACTAAAACGTGCCCTAATGGATCAATGGTTGGTAGAACTTTTGTGAAGCTGAAGAATAAAGATGTCATTATTAGGGCAATGAATATAACACACCATAGTATATGAGTCAATCTGGATGAGAAATTGTCAGAGGTAAGGCTGCACAGGTATTACTTTCACGTCAAAGAACACCAGAAGTTGTCATCTTTATTTGTTTGTCACTCAGATAGCCCTTTGTGTAGCTTTGTGCTTAATAACAAACAACAATAGCAGCATTGTTTGTTGTTAAGCACAAAGCTATACAATGGGCTATCTGTGTTGTGTCCACCACGAGTGTCGAAGCCCAGTTTTTAAAATTTTATGTCCACAGACATACCACTGGAGGACAGTCATCTTCAAGAAAAATTTAAAAAATCTAATGTCAAACCTTTACATAAGGAGAGCTTACCACCCCACTTGCAAGAATTTTATGACAAACTGTGGAGATCTTACAACTGTTAAGTGCTGCTAATTGTGTAACCTGATCACAGACCTCATGAACAAGAAAAATATCTCACAAGATTGATACTGGAGATGCAACCCCAATATGTCAGCTAGCAAGACAATTTCCACTTGTGAAACAGGCTGAGGCTTTCTAAAAGATAGAAGCCATGAAGGAACAGAGAGTGATAGAACTGAGTACTAGTCCTTGGGCATCACTTATTGTACTTGTGAAGAATATGCAAGGTAGTGCATGGACTACTAGAAATTGAATGAAGTTACAAAGAAGGATACCTACTTACTGTTGAGGATTGACCTTACCTTGGATGATGCATTAGATCTTGGGAGTGAACATTGGCAAGTATAAGTAGACAAAGTGAATAGAGAGATGGCAGATTTGACCACAAGAAATGTATTGTGACAATTTGTCATATTACCATTTAGATATTTTAATGCTTTTGGTACATTCCAATGATTAACAGAGTGTGCTCTCTCTGAACTACCCAGAACATCATTATTACCTGTTTGATGACATAATCATACATGGTAAGACTTGATAATGCTTATGAAAGAATGCCTAAGAAAGGATCTAGAATTGTTAAGAAAAGATAACATCTTAAGTTGATTCCAAAGAAGCGTGAATTATTTTCTGGGACACATAGTCAGCAAAGAAGGGGTGTCTACAGATCCATAGAAGATTGAATCTATCCAGAATTGGCCAACACAAAAGAACCTGCATGAAGTAAGAGGACTTCTTGGATTGTGCTCTTACTATTGTTATTTTGTAAATTTATTCTCTGACATAGCTCATCCTTTACACAACTTAGTTGAGAAGCTAAATAAGTTTTGTTAAACTGTTGATTGTGAACAAGCATTAAAAAACTGAAGAAGGAATTAACTTCTACTCCTGTATTGAGATATCCAATTTTGGAAGATCCACTAATTTTAGATACATATGTCAGTGATTTTGCAGTGAGAGCAGTTTTATATAAAGTGTAACACGTTGCAAGAGCATGCGATTGCCTACTCTAGCAAGGCAATGAATCCTGCAGAATGGAGGTATTGTATAACTCAAAAGGAGCTACTAATTGTTGTTCTAACCCTGAGCCACTTCCATCATTATCTATTGAAAGATCGTTCCAAAATCTCCAGGAGTACAACTTTAACATTGTACATTACATGTTAAGTTCATGCTGGGAGGGCCCATATGCTGTACTGAAAGGAATTAATGGTGCAGTCTACATAATCCAGAAGGATAGGCAGTTCATACCAAAGGTCATCGATAGTGGTTGTCTTTGGAAGTATGTTGGTGATGAAATAAGTAAATTCAGTGGAAGTTCAACCTGCTGAGGAGCCCACCCATCCTCGTGAAATGATGGATTCGTTGGCATGTGACCAATTTATAGATGCCACGACAGTCAAGAATATGAGAATGAGGCTGAAGCAAAGTCGGTGTACATCCTTAAAGGATGTTCTGCAGTTGATAGTCATGTAAGGCTGTACAGATAATACCTTTCTGTCCAAGAACATCAGAAGTAGTCATCTTTAATGAAAGAAATATGATATCCAATATCAAACTTTTACATAAGGACAACTTACTACCTCACTTAGAAGAGCTGTATGACTGTAGATGTGGAGATTGCTTGAGAAGCCAAATAAGTTTTGTTGAACTACTGAATGTGAAGCATTACAAGAACTGAAGAAGGAATTGACAACTACTCTGGTAACCTTCCAGCCAAGAGACATGAAAACTATCAAGCATTGGTAACTGACTTAACCAACGGGTTTGGAATGTTGCACCAGAAAGAAGTATCCAGAGTAAAGTATGTGGAGACATTGATACAAGAGTAGGCTAAGTTAATTTAGCTTCACAGTCTATGATCAGGAAATCCAAAGGATCATAAAGGATGGAGCCACCAGTGAATTAATCTGCTCATCTATCTAAGAAAACTCCCTCAACAACAAGATAGGCAGTAACAACAAAGGACAAGATGCCAACCCATTTGTGTTCCATGGGCTTTGAAAGAAAAAACAACCAAAAAGACTTTGTAAATGGACAATTTAATGCTGTTTTTTTTATATTAGTATTGTCTAAGAGATTTCACAATTCAGGAAAGGACTGTGTTGCAAACTATTTTTGTAATTTTGTGATTTATTTGTTGGCTAGATGGAGCTACAGGTTACTGATTATGTAATGATCCATAGGTCTGGCGAAATATCTAGAACAAGGCTTAGATCATAATTATGGTTTGGTTTGTTTGGAATTTCGTTCAAAGCTACACGAGGGCTATCTACATTAGCCGTCTTTAATTTAGCAGTGAAAGACTAGAGGGAAGGCAGCTGGTCATCATCTCCAATCACCAACTCGTGGGCTACTCTTTTACCAACAAATAGTGGGATTGACCATCACATTATAATACCCCTATGGCTGAAAGGGTGAGCATGTTTCGTTGGACGGGGATTCGAACCTGCGACCATCAGATTACGAGTCAAGCGCCATGCCGGGCCTCTTAATTATGAGATGGTGTGTAGAATTGTTTCAAGAAGATAGAGTTGGATCAATCATTTTGCTTTTGTGAAATATTTGGATCTATGTTAGCCATTACACTCATTGAATTACTTTGTAAAATTATAAGTTTATTTTACATTAGTCCTAGTATTGTTAGATAGGCTTGAACGTCATTTATAACGAGGCTTACAGTTTACGACAATGTAGTAGTGTTTACGCTTGTAAAACCTTAAAAGAGGAAACGATGTAATTTTTTTTCATGTGAATTGAACATTAATTTTTTCCACAAGATAATTAAAAGAACCCACCAACACAAGAACAGTGTCAAGACAAAGGGAACAAAGGATATTGCACTCGTCTATCTTTAATTGGTTTTCATTATAACAAAGATAATTTTTCATTTTGTTTTTCCATTGTATTTGGTGTCTTTTTTTCAATTCAGTCAGAGTCAGAAATTCAGGTTAAAGACGTCGGACAGTTAAAAACACAATAAGTTTGTATTTATATTTAAATGCCGCAGAAATATAAGTTAAAAATTAAGTTTGTTTGTTTATAATTAAGCACAAAGCTACACAATGGGCTATGTGTGCTCTGCCCACCACGGGTATCGAAACCCGGATTCTAGCGTTGTAAGTCCGCAGACATGCCGCTGTGCTACTGGGGGGCATCAACAAAGGACTTGTATCGCTGTAGTTCCTCGGAAAGAATTTCTATCGGGAATTAACATACAAGCAGATACGCAACAATATCTACTGGATTTAGCGTGTACCGAATTAGAATATTTCGGAAGTCATAACGTGGGGTATGTTTATATTTTAGTAAACAACAACACCAAGTAAACGAATGAAAGTCAACTTTTTCTCTCCGTTACCATTTAATATACCAAATTTCAAAATAAACTAAGTATTATTCTATTTAGAAACTGTGTAAAAGTTAAAATCGGCAACGATTTTTATCCTCTCTAAAGGAATACGCTTCCTTTACAAGTTAGAGATATAAACAAGAACCAAAGTCATAGGTTGTTAAGATAACATATTGAGATGTTAACAATTGTACGTTAATGGATTGAAATACGTTTTTTTTTGTCTTATCGTAAAAAAAAAGGAAAAAAAATGTGGCAGTGGACCATTTAAGTTTTTAATTCCTGTTATATGTTTTTGCCAGTGTAAAGTAATGTGGTCACATGAGGAACAGGAGTGACGTTTACAATGAATGTAAACTGTAAAGTCAACAATGTGTACTTAGGGAACGCTGTGTAATGTGCTGTTGAAACTTAGCTAGGTTGTTTATTTGTTCCTACGGTAAGTTCAAAGTTTATACGTAATATTATAACGATATAGAAATGTTATTTAAATACATAAAAGTTGTAATATTAACATGCAGTTGTCAGTAATGTAGTTTGATTATGTTAACTTTTGTCACCACCCGAAATTATTTTCACTAATTTTTAGTACACGATCTGGGTTTGTATTTTACATATATTGTACAACGCCGGACTCCACAAGTGCAATTTCTACTTTCTTTTTAGTTTGTTTGTTTTTCAATTTTCTTCACAAATTGCGCTATATAGTTAATAACTCTATGAAATTTTAAATGGTACTAACAAGAGTAATGCTAAAATAATAAACGAAACAATACTTGTTTTACTAATGGTAATGCTAGTTTTTAAAATTGGAACTTGAGAAGTGCCTATGCACACAAGCCATGATTTTCGTAAGTAAAACAAAGCATTATATTTAGACTTTAGACTTAAGTTAAATATATTCCAGTTTACAAATGCAAACTATTGAATAGTCTTTGTCCATGAATCTATGAGGCAAGATTATAACTATTGTTTAGATCACAAGTACTTTTTTGTTAATTACAATAAATATATTATTTAATTTTTGTAGTGCACATTGCCTATTAGTGTATTGAAAACATTTTAATATTAGAAATAAACGACCTTATACTTATAGCACCAAATTGTTGTTTTTCTTTAACTGGACACTCAACAGTTTGTGTTTTAAGACTTTTACTTTTAGTACAATGCTCATGAAGATGCTGTAAAGTGAAATAAATGTTGAGTGGCCAATTAAAGACAAACAACAAATTTGGAGTTATAACTTAATAAGTCATTGTGCTGCTACTGGTATTACTGTACTGCTTCAGTATATGCATGTTTAGCAATAATTCAAAAATACTGCTCACTTTTAGTCATAAATGATTAATTACTGAGGGAACAGCTCTAAAATAAAATAAAAAATTGGATTACGATTTCTGTTTCATTTATTTTGTTAAGTACTTTTTAATTTATTGTAATATATATATATATAAATTAATGAATGGTTATGTTTTCATAGTATTAAGGAAATAAGAAGTTATACAGTGGCAAAATATAATTTGTATGTACTCGTTCATAAGAAATCTCTCAAAATAATTACACCTATTCCATTGCCTTGTACCAGGAATGCTCACATTACAGTGAACATCCCATCATCATATTTATCACCTGCATTAATGGCTTCTTGACACAAACTGCCCTACATGAATAAAACAGCATGTGAGAGGAAATGTTGGGACGTTTCTCACTACATTAGACATCACATAGATAGGATAAAGGGCTTGTAATTTGCTGTGCTGTGTTCTCAAAATAGTATGATCAGATGACACAAGCTTAAGGTTTATAAAAGACAAGCTAGTCTCCAGATAAGACATTTTTGTGTGTCTAACAGGCTGTTTAGCAGAAAGAATAATTTGCCATTGATAGCAATGGAGGACAGTAATTCTCAAGAGTTTGAGATGAATTGATAAGTTCATGAAAATTGAAAGATTGGGTACAAACTTTTGCATTTCTCTAGATTTGAACCCAGTCTTTCAGTTTTCATGAAATCATCAATTCATCTCTTGTGAATTGCTGTCAATAGTAAATTATTTTATCAGCTAAACACCTTGTTAGAAACACAAAAGAGGTCTTAACTGGAGAATAACTTGTTTTTTATAAATCTTAAGCCTTTTTCAACTCATTCTAGTAGAATAGGTGTGCAAAAACAGCCTAAAGGAACAAATATTTTTTTGTTCTGTATCTTATGTTATGCCTACAATTAGGTTAAAGTAGGTAATGTATTTGAGGTACTTATTGGTTCAGAGAAGTATGTGTATAGCATTTATTGACCCAGAAGTATATGTAGTACAAATATAGGTCTACATATACATTCAGAAGAATGTGACGGACTGTTTGTTTAGTTGTATGTTACTTAGTGGCATGATTTCTGAGTGAACATGCTTTTTTCTTTTAAAGCGTTACTAATACAACACAGGGAAAGTAATACAAAATTTAAGCTGTGTTAATATATACTATATTCCATCCCACTAGTCATGATTCTTTTTTGTATTTTTCTCTAGTCTGGTGCTTTCAGTGTTTAGCACCATCTTATTTCATTAGCTTTAGTACAAAGTGTGACAGGTGTGTGTGTTGTGGTACATTTATCAGAGACATAGTTTAATATATAACTGTAATTATGGTCCTTATTTTTCTGTTAACTAGTGTTAAG